CAGTGGTATTAAAATTGAGATTAATAATTTTTTTAAAAGTTCAAATCGAGAACTTTAATCACTTTTCCCTGCTAGATTATAAAGCAATAACTATAGAATTTTTGCTATACAAGACAAGTCTGTCCACTATGGTTGCTAAAGATTTTAAACAAAAAACAACAACAAAAAACCACCCCCAAATTGCATTAACACCAAATATTTAATCTAGGGACTGATTTATCATTTCCTTATCTAATATCACATCCCCAGCCATTCACTTATTATTCATTCAAAAATATTACTGAAGCACCTCACTGTTAATATCTGTCACACTGAAAATATTAATCATATCCCTTGCAAAACATACAACAAGGAGTGAGACATTCAAAAACTAATGAGTTGTAGTCAAGTTCAACTGAGCAAATGAACATAGGAGGCAAAATGTCCTAGGAGGATTCTTGCTCTCTAGAAACTAACCTGAGTAGAAATATGTGCAAAATGTGTTATGTGGCACAACTGGTGTTTGAATACAAATCTGGGATGCTCAGAGAAAGAACAGCTCTTATTGACAGCAACTTAAAGATGGTTCTATAGTGAAATTGACCTGTGAGCTAACTGACTAGGAATAGCAATCCTACTGGAAAAAGAGCAAAGGGAATTCCTGCAATCCACTTCAGGACCAAATGTAGGGGGCAGGGAACAGTGCTGCTCACTAAGGGACAGTGAAAAAGGGTGATGCAGGTGGCTGGGGATGGGCAGATTGGAGGGGGTATGCTTTTTGGCTGGGACCACATCTTAAAGGGCTAGGAGCATCCATGTAGCCATTTAGGGTCATAGCTTTTAGAAAAATAATTCTGAAAGCAGAGAAGATTGCTTGAGAAGGGGGAGGAAAGCAGTGTATATGTTTATGTGTGATGTAGGAAGAATGGGCATACTTTTTCCTTTTTTGAAGCAATTTTAATAATTGAGCAGAGGATAAAAGTTTCTATAAGAATTAGCTTCCAACATTGCTTAAGTGGAATTGTTCCTGAAGTATCAGATACACGATCTTTAAAAAAAGAGAGAGAAAATAGTTCATTATTTTCTCTGCATTACTATAATTATGTGTTAATTTCAAAGGAAGTATGTTATACAAATTGGATTTTAAAAAATAGTGAAAATGAGTCACATTCACACTGCCAGAAATGAACATATTTTGTATGTAACTCTTCCAAGTTGGCTTTGATTCCACTATGTAGAAACAGACATTAAATAAGATTGATGATAGATAGAGAAATTCAGACATCTGGGGTCAAGCTCATTTTAAACAGATGTGCAGATAACAACTTTGGCCTTACTTTTCACAGTACAACTTGCAAGAAAGACATTTATTGCTACATTATGATAATTACAAATTCTTTATAATTATTTCAAAAAAAAGGGCTAAGTGCTATGAAAAACACAGTTGGAAATGATTTTATATTTTGGAATACACATTTGTTTAATACTTATTTCCTGAATTGAAGCAAAAAAAAAGTACAACTAATAAAAATTAATCCCTTCAATCTTCAGTTGTCTTCAGAAACTTAAGTACTGCGGAATGGTAAACCTTTATTCATTATTTCAGCAACTCTTTCAGAAACTGCAGTCATTGTGTTACACTAGTGATAGATTTGTCAATGAAAAACTATTCACTAGAGCTCACCATCTTTAAAAAAAACTTCATTTTTTAAATTTTAATTTTGTGGATATATTTTTGTTTTTCCATATGTGTACATGTTCCATTCACCCGCCACCAAACCACCCAAAATACCCCATCCGTCTCCTTTCCCCATCTTCTCCTCACTGCCCATTACTGCCTCTGGAGACCATTAAATTCTTTCACTGTGTATAAGCTGTTTTCCTGCAATACTTGCCTATGTATTTTTTGTGTTATTTTTATTCCAGAGATGAGTGAAACAATACTTGTATTGGCCATTCATCATAAAAGCTATCGAGTGCATAGGAACACTGTCCACAATTGCCAAGTCATGGAACCAACCTATGTGTCCTTCAGTAGATGAATGGATAAAGAAATTATAGAATATACACTCTATGAAATGCTATACACCTATGAGAAAAGATGAAAGAGTGGATTTTGTAGCTCACAGTCTTAAGTATGTTAGCAAACTATTCTTTTCAATTCTCCTGTAGAATAGAGATTCCATCCATTAAACATCCATCCCTGGATTTCCATGAAATACTCTTGCACTTTTCTCATTCCTGAAGGCTTCCCCCTTCGCTGACATTTGCAATTCTTAGTGATAGTGCCAATATCACAATACGATTTTAAATTTATGCCATAAGAAAATGATCCTTATTAATTTTATGTTTTTCTTTTCCCTTAATAAGATTTTTAAAAAACCCTTAAAGGCAGACAGTGAATGAGGATAAAGGCTGAATTTTATGAATGTCTAATAATACTGAACAAGACATATAGACAATTTCTGGCCAAAGTATTTGAATATAACTGAAAAACTTATTTACTGAAAATCTGGCACTTCACTCTCCCAAAGGAAATGTCAATAAAAACTGCCTCAGCATGGTTATCTCACAACGTTGGCACAAATGAGGGGACGTGGTGAGAATTTAATGGACTCCCCATGTTATGCTCTTCTTTTCACTCTTATTTTAGAGAAAAATTGTTCATCATTTCCTAAATATATAGTATGGCTTAAGTGGCCTTAAATGACTCAAACAATGATACAATCAGGTTCTCATCTCAAACAACAGTTAAATTAAGACTCAGTTACACATTAAACTTGCAAAGGGGAAAAATGATAGCCTGATGTTGCATTATCACATTTCCAACTGATTTAAAGCTGTGACAAATTAGAGTATGGCTAGACTATTAAAGAGGGAAGTCCCTCTGTGAATCTATTCTGTAATTCAGCATTTGAAAGACGTTTTTTGTTCTAACTGGCAGATTTCTTTGGACACACTTTAAAAACTGATCTATATAATTTGTAAGGTAGGATTTGTTCCATTCACCTTCCACCAAACCACCCAAAATACCCCACCTGTCTTCTTTTCCCATCTTTATAGAGTACAGAATAGGCATCTTGATAAAATACAGGATGGTATCCAAATCTACTGCTAAAAGGAAAGCTGTGAGGAAGTTAAGATGAAGACGTGTGTTGCTAGAATTAGGACACACCCTTTGTTGTAATATTTAAAAACTGAAATCATTCTGTTCAAGGATATTCCAAACTTACTATGGAAGCCTTTCAATTGGTGTAATAATACTTTTGACCACCTTATCAGTCTATAGAATTGTTTGAGATGATATTTTTCATAAATGGAAAATGACCAGGAATGCTTATGTTATTTATTGGATTATGGCAAAAGACACAGAGTTTCAGACTGATAGGAAAGAGCTATGAAGGCAATGAAAAATGTCAAGAAAAAGTCCTTACCCTTACCTTATATGAAACATAATTTAAATTAAGCTAATCTAGATATTTTTCTTTTCTGTTTTATAATGGATACTTTTGTAGCCATTATACCCATTAGAGAATATGTCTACTTATTTTTGAGAAGAACATAAACTTTCAAAAACTGGGAAGAATATATTCCTTGGATTTGCTATCATTTATCTTTGACAACCACAAATCTCTTTTCTGGCTTTCTGGTCATATCTTGGATAGACTAATAAGTTAAAAGATTAAATATACTTTGAAGTACAAATTAACTGAAAATTCTAATTTAATAAGCCAGGCAAGATGAAAGTTGCATATCAAAACGTATATGACAGAATGTTTTCTTTATTCTCACATGAAACTTGAAATCAGGGGCCTCTCGTAGCGCAGGGGTTAAAGTCAAATTACTGTCAAGTTATGGATAGTCACTGCGGCATGATTTTGATCCCCAGCCAAGGAGCTGACCTATATGGCTCAGCAGACCTCTCCTATCTCACCGGCCTCTCCTCTCGGCACTAGATTTCAGTAGGTCAGCCTGTTCTGCTTCCCACTCTATCTCTGGTGAATCTTTCTCTCCCATGTATCTCTGGCCTACACCCCAGTCCTTGTATGCATAAATAAATAAAATAAAATTTTTTTAAAAAAGCTTGAAATTAGTCACCACTAAAGCTAAAATATTAAGATGTCACAGGCAAAATACAATCCCAAAAATAGAATTTAAGAATCACTTTAGCCAGTCAAAAAGCTTCTTATATACTGCCCTCCCCCAAGACACTAAAAAGTACATGCTTGATGGCATCCTAATGCTTTGGTGTTCAACTACTTAATACTCCTTTCTGCTAGCCACAAGGACTGAAACAACCACTTTTCCTGAAGACAGAAAAATATATTTCTCTGATTTTTGCAGAACATGAAACCTACAGTGATATGCCTGTGCTCCATTAACAAAGGAATGATTCATATATAAAATTGGAGAGAAATCAACCACACAACAGGTAACAACCCTGTTGTCTCATTCTCATCACGGAAACAAATGTGAAACAAATCAAATAGCATGGTATGGCTAATCCAAGTTTTGACATCACACAGATTCTCAAGGTTGACAGTGAAATATTCCAAACAAGTGATGATACAGCAGAAAAGACAAAAAAAAAATTCACCCAAGATCATTTAAGAACCATGTTGTTGCTAACCACAGTTAAAGCCACAAGAAGAGAATACTATCTACTGATCATGTCCTATTTCTGAAAATGAACTTTTTGCTTCTAGCTTCCTAAATCTTAATTGTTTTTCTGCTATCCATGACTAACCAAAAGTATATAGCAGATAAGAAAATAAATGAAATAAGGTTGATGTCAGCTGTTACTTATTTGAATTCATTTTTCCTGCCAGCTCTTTCTAGCCATGTGATGTTTTCCCACAAGATTAAAGGTAGCAAAACCTCGTGTGCTTTGGACATGACCATTGATTTTCAACACAATTTTAAGAAACCTGATTGGTGATGACTGGTTAATAGAGATGATCAGAAATATGTGTGCACATTCACACTGCAATGTGTCAGAACCTCTGTGTGCAGTCACTGACCTTCAGGCTGATACTGTGCTATGATTGTCACGGTCTGTCCAGCCCCCTTTAGTGCCGCAGCAGCTTGTTCATGGGACGCTCCACGAAGATCGATGCCATTTACCTGAAAGCGAGGAAGTCGGAGAACTTGGGTATTTCAGAAGACATACTATTCTGATGGAAGAAAGTCATTTCCCCAAACGTAGTATTTGTCTACGATAAAATCACACCACACACAACCCCTCCTGTATTGAACCCAGGCATTTGAGTGTTAATTTGTCAAGTTTCATGCTCATGGTAACTTTAGTTAGCGGACCCATGGAATTTCATCGCATGGTGCTTGTAATTTGCAGCATGGCCTGAAACTCTTTTGTCTATCTGTGTCTACTGGAATTTTAGTGTGTGCATTTAATATGCCTCTGTGACGTTCCTAGACTTCTGGGATAAATAGAAACTTTCAGCATTTGAGGAAAAATGGGGTAGTGGAGAGAGACACATGTAATGTACATAGACAAGTAAGTGTTGACAGGTTCATATATTCAGGTGAGGTTCTGCGAGACTGGAAGGACGAGGGCTGGCTGCCTGCCAGATGTCTTGGCTTGGTCTTTTGCCTGGTCCTGTCATCCTGAGCTTAGTTAGCCCTGAGTCTTGTTCCAAAGTAAACTTGACTGCCCCATTTCTCATGCACAGTTCCAGAATGAATTCTGACAAAATGAAATAAAGAATGCCTGGAACTGATGTTGCTGTTGCTGTTGCTAATTCCCATTTTGGGGCCCATGCCAGAAGAGAAACAGAGCATCACAAAAACAAGCACACAATTCTGCCAAGTGGAAAAAATCATTCTCAACTCAAATTTAACGAGGAACAAAAGCTAAAATCTTTCTTGAATAAAGGACGTTTAAGTCAACAAAAGATAATTGCTGAATGCTTTCCAGCGAAGGGCTGTGCGCTGGCCCCCAAAGAGGAGTGGTAAGTGGGAAACAATGATGACCAAGACAGGCTTTTTGGAAATTTTTCTTTAACTGAACACATAGCAAATCAAGTTTCTAATGTATAGCGAGTTGGGGTATTGCAGATGACATTAGAATTCTGTTTCCTTTTACTACTAGGAAAGATGGTGATCACCCAGGAGAGAGAGTGAAAGAACATCTAAGATTATCTATGTGTAAGATAATCATTTTTTAAATTTTATAACATTACTCATTGTTGTACAATGGCATGCTTTCTCCTCTCAGGTGTAGTTCCAATGAAATCCCACCACCAATTCACTCCTGCACCATCACCAAGGTCCCTTGTCCTCTTCCCTCCCGTTTTGATCCCTCCCCCTACTTCCATCTGCAGAATGTTGGATTTATAACTGCCTATTGATTTTGATTTTTTTTAAGATTTATTTATTTATTCATACGGAACTGGAGTACAAGGCCAGAGATGTGGAAGATGAGAGGGTTCACCAGAGATAGAGTGGGGAGCAGTACAGGCAGGTCGATGAAGTACACTGCTGAGGGGAACAGCGGGCAGGCCAGGAGAGGTCTGCTGTGCCACGTGGTCACCTCCCGGGCAGGCGGGAATCAAACTCATGCGGAAGTGGCTTTAGCTTCTTAGTGCTGTGCTTTAACCCGCTGCGCTACCAGGGAGAGTCCATGATTTTGATTTTTTTTAAAGATTGGTTTATTTATGTATACAGAACTGCGGAACAGGCCATAAGCACAGGGGTGGAGAGAGGCTTCACCAGAGACAGAGTGGGAAGCAGAATAGATCAATGAAGTGCACTTCTGAGGGGAGCAGCAGGTGGGTCAGGAGGGGTCTGCAGCACCATGTGGATCACCTCTGGGGTGGGGATCGAACTCATGAAGTGAGTTTTAGGTTCTCAGTGCTGTGCTTTTACCTGCTGCGCCACCAGGGAGGGCCCTGATTTTGATTTTTAACTTAAAGAATCTTATTTAAAAGAATCTTGTTTTGTATCCCATCATGTATTGGGTGGTGGATGGGGGTTACAACTGTGTTTTCTGATCAGTCCAGGACTATTTCAGTTCCACATCCTGGTCCTTTTCTAATAACTTTACTAAAGTTTCCTTATTTATTTATAATTTTTCCCATCTCTTCCCTGGCTTTCAGTGTGGGCCAGGGCCTTACTAAACTCCCCGATTACACAGAACACTGGGAAGCCCCAGAACCAGGTGGGTCTGTTTGTGCTGTTCATCAGCTGAAGGGCTCTTTCCTCTCGGAGCCTCATTGTTTTTCCTGCCTTGGATGGAAGGGACTATTAGGCCTTTGAGTCTACAGCCCTCTGGACTATGAAGTTTCAGATCCACTTGTTGGTCGATGAACAATGCAGACTGTTTAGGTACTGATGATCAGAATTCTGACCCAGAGAGCTATTAGAGAGAGGAAGAGTTATCAGATCTAGAGTTGATTACTGGGCTCTAACTCCAGGAAGCTGAATGTACAGCTATCATGGGCCAGCTAACCTACTGTCTCATCAAACAATTAGCTAACTTTTTATTGAAAATTACTCCATCATCATGGTAAATTAAGCTAATGTTTCAGGAAGTTATGAAAGGTAAAGCAAAAGTTTCTTACCATCTCCAAATCTAGAGGTAGCCACTTGTCAGCAGTGTCTTGTGGAAGCATCAGAAATCTGCTATATGTGCATTCAGGCACACACCTTGATCTCTTTGCTTTTTTTCTTATCTATTTTAACAAATTATCACCTTTACATTGAAATCTTAGGATCATATAATTCTACGTTGTTATTCTGCTTTTCATTTAACAGTGCATCTTAGGCCTCCACCATTTTAGCTCTTCTCATTACTGTATTGTGAGCCTGGCATTCCATGGATGCACTAGCATTTTCCCAATAGGATCCCTGTTGACATGTTAAGTTGTTTCTTGCTTTTTGTGACTACAAGCACTTAACCAGATGTTTGAAAAGAAAAAAACTCCCTAGAAATGGACAACCTGGATTTAAGATACATTACCTTTTTAAAAATTTGCTCTTTGAATATTTAAAAATAACTATTTATTCACTAAGCATAAATTAACTGAGAAGGAAGGCCATAATCCCATCACTCAGATATTGCATTGCTATAAAAAGTGAAATCAAGGGCCCTCCCTGGTGGTGCAGTGGGTTAAAGCACAGCACTAAGAAGCTAAAGCCACTACTGCATGAGTTTGAACCCTGCCTGCCCCGGAGGTGATCCACACCCACATGGCCACGCAGACTTCTCCTGACCCGCCCACTGCTCCCCTCAGCAGTGTACTTCGTCCCTCTGCCTGTTCTGCTCCCCACTCTGTCTCTGGTGAATCCTCTCACCCTCCACATCTCTGGCCTGTACCCCAGTTCCATATGAATAAATAAATAAATCTTTAAAAAAAATGAAATCAATATATGTACATAGTGTTTCTACCTGAAAATTAAAATAATATAAAGGGCATAAAAATAAAGGGCTACTCCTATTTTCTATCCAAATATAATTCTGATCATTTCTTGCATATACAACCAATTATTTTTGAATAACTGAAGAGTTAGAATTCACTTTCTGAAACTTTGGAATTCATTTATCATAACAATATATTATTTATTTTTTTTTATTTTATTTTTTTTTAAAGATTTATTTATTTGTGCATACAGAACTGGGGTACAGGCCAGAGGCTCAGGGGTGGTGAGAGGCTTCACCAGAGACAGAGTGGGGAGCAGAACAGGCAGATCTACGAAGTACACTGCTGAGGGGAGCAGTGGGCAGGCCAGGAGAGGTCTGGCTCGCCATGTGGTCTCCTCCGGGGCAGGCGGCAGGCGGGAATCGAACTCATGCGGAAGTGGCTTCAGTTTCTCAGTGCTGTGCTTTAACCCGCTGCGCCACCAGGGAAGGCCACAATATATTATTTTTAATAAAAAGTTAACCTGAATAGTTTGAAAAGGGATAATTTGGTCTGTGAAATCTGTGTTTTGAATTTCTGAATGTATTACCTACCACATATACACTCATAGAATTTGCATATATCCCAACATTTGACCTTTGTCATTCTGATAGGTAGACAATTACATTTTCTACTTTTGCACTTCTTCATTATAAGGCAAGCTTTTTTTTTTTTTTAATATAGTCATTGGCTATTTCAATTCATTTTTACATAAAATTTGTTAAGTATTTTTGCCTATTTTTGTTCCCTTCAAATAACATTGTCAGAGGCATTAAAAACAGTTCACATCAGGGCCCTCCCTGGTGGCGCAGTGGGTTAAAGCACTGCACTGAGGGGCTAAAGCCACCTCCGCATGAGTTCGATTCCCGCCTGCCCCGGAGGCGACCACATGGTGTGGCAGACCTCTCCTGGCCCGCCCGCTGCTGCCCTCAGCAGTGTACTTCCTCGATCTGCCTGTTGTGCTCCCCACTCTGTCTCTGGTGAATCCTCTCACCCTCCGCATCTCTGGCCTGAACCCCAGTTCTGTACGAATAAATAAATCTTTAAAAAAAAAAAAAAACAGTTCACATCATTGACTTATTTTTCTGATTCAGTCTGAATTTTCTTGAAGTATGGACTAGATTGAATGCCATTAATTATTACTGAGATTAATAATGGCAATTGTTACTAACACTGAGTGAGCAACAAATATTATAAAGGAGATATTAATATATTATCTAATCCGCAGGAGTCAGAGGTTTGTTTTTCACAAATGAGAAAACTGAGCGTAGAGAGAAGCAATAATTTACTCAGGGTAAAACATTCAGGTGAGATTAAGGATTTAAAGCAGTTCAACCAAAACTTCATGTTTTGCTGAAGCTGGAGAATTTGGGCTGACTAGAAAAATTTCACCTATTGCTACTTCCTGATATGCATAACACTGTCAAAGACTGGATAATAGAAAAACAGACTTCTATTTGTTATAACATCCTTCTTACAGTCATGTTGGTGACAGAAATCTGAGTACTTTTAGTTGACCCAAAAGTTGTTTCTTTCAGGTGTTAATGAGAAGATGAATAGTGTGCCATATCCAAGGTCAACCTTTATTTGTGTTTAAGAGATGAGCATTAGACTTTCTAATATGACCAAGAGGGCCCTCCTGCTGGAGAGAGTCCAAGAGAGTCCTTGAATAAGAAAGCAAGTAACTCTCCAGAAAGAGTTACTTAT